GAAGAGCCGGATCACTACGAGTTGTGGCGGAAATGTTCATAGCTGTGAGAGTTGCAGTTGCACCGTGACCGTGGAGAGTGGCATCAGCAGCCAAGTGGAAAGTAGCGCCACCTCTTTTCCCTCCGATTCTTCCGTCTACCAAATGCAGTCAGGACCTGCATTGGATGTGGCAGTACTCAGACAGTCGTCCGGCTTTTGTCTGCTACCCGAATCGACTCACCGACTGCCGCCAAGCAGGCTTCGCCTACAGAAACCAATGAGCAGGTCGTGGTTGGCAACAGCAGCTGAAGGTTGGCGAAGACAGGCAGTAGGCCAAGGCTTCAGGCTGAAGCGTGTCTCAGACCAGGTCTCCGACCGGGTCAAACAAACCCAGCAACAGGAGTCTGCTGAGCGGCATCGCCGAAATCGGCCCAACCACAGTCCCCATCCGCATCAGCATCGCTATAGTACAAATGAGGTCTACGCACATTCAGAGTGTGAACTAGAAGAGCCTGTCCATCGATGTGTCGATGCATCGCCGAGGCCGGGTGAGCAAAAAGGCTACAGCAAACTAGCATCATCACAGTATATATGAAAAATAGTTGGGTTTAGAGCAATCTCTTGGGTTATCACCGTTGAGCTCACCACCATTTCGAGTGTAGGTTTGTGATGAAGAGACTGGACGATCGACGGCAGATTCCCTTTGATCAGCTGTCGGTTGGGTTTACTGGAAAACTCCTACTGACGCTGTCCCCAAGGCAAACTCTTTCGAATCCGTCAAGTGATTAGCTTATTTCGTGGAAAGTATAATTCTTACAACCTTATTCGAACTAACGGGTAACGAAAACTCACCAATCTATCCCTTAATTAGACATGTCTGACATTACGTTGTCGGAGTGATGGTTAAAAATATTTCTACAAATGAAGGGTGCAGTAATGAAGTCTTGATGATCGAGGACAGACTTTACGCTCTGTTTTAATTACTTTTAGTTATCATTGCTGGACGCACACGTGAAGGCGAATAAACACACATAAGCAAACAAATGCATATGCTTATAGACTGACATACCACCTGAACTAACTAAATCGCTTTATATGAGATATATTCACTCTATTTCGTTGAAGGTGATGAAGAACTGGTAGTATAATTTTTCCACAATGATATAAGTAGAGCTGACAATCCAATTGAATTTCGCATAGCCTTGCTTTCCCAAAAGCTGCTCTAAACCCAGCTGGAACGGACTTTTCTTCTCATTTACTGTAACGTTCTTGCTGACACTGCTCTAGAGGAAAGCCCCTTCGATTCCGTCCAATGATAGACATCTTCAGAGCAGAGTATCATTTGTACAATCATATGCAAGCTGGAGGGTGAAGAACACTTACGGGCTCAGTCCCAAATGCTGTTTGTATATATTCCCTAAATCACAGAATTGTGATGAGGTATAAAGAGATTTATTTTTCGTGTATAAGTAGAGTTTCGAGATTACTAGTAAATCAGTAATATGAGATGTATTCGCACTATTTCGTTTAAGGTGATGAAGGACTAGAAGTAGAATTTTCCCACAATGATATGAATATAGCTGATGATTCCATTGAATTTCACATAGACTTGCTTTCCCACAAGTTGTTCTCATCCAGGCAGAAGTGGACTGCAGTTTCTAGATCGCATTGGTCTTATCAACACCCCCAGCGGGAGTCGAACCGCGACAGTATAGAATGGGAGCTTGACACGTTAACCAATCGGCCACATTGCCACGAGTGGCCTTGGGTCACAGAGCAGATGTGAATTTCAGGTAAGGCCAGGCCTTTTCATATATCACATTATTTCAAAAAACTTTTTCCCAATCGACAATCCCACCAAAGAATATGATATGGCAAAAGGCCTAGCCTTCCTTGAAATTTAAATCTGTCCTGTCACCCAAGGGCACTCGTGATAAACTTAACGTGTGACCGAGTAGTTAACGTGTCAGGCTCACATGCCGCACTTTCACGGTTCGACTCCCGCTGGGGGTGTTGATAAGACCAATGCGATCTAGAAACTGCAGTCCACTTCTGCCTGG